CGCAAAGCTGGGGTAGTAATAGTGGAATAGTACCGATGCTACCACGCCTCTACTTAGAGTGTCTTCTATGCTTTTTCGCTTTTTTTCTTCCTTGGATTAATTATTTAGCGACTGTAGGTTGGGCGCCACTGTCCACAATATACAACCGCGAAGTCTGTCTTCAAGGGTCAAACTAGGCAACCGTTTCAGCCATTTAGACAAGTTATGGAAGAAAGGTCAAGATCGTTGAAAAACAGTTGTCATGCAGCACAACTGACTTACTTCTTTTTGCCTCCTATATATTCCCAAAACTCATCAGGTTCTTCGCCTTCCTTGATCACTTCTACTGGGAAACATTCATCATGACGATTGATCATCTCCTCCGCTACCTGCACAATGGATTTCCATACATTTAACAGATAGATGTTAAAGTCAACTTTATAAAACGTGAAAAAAGAAAGTGCTAGAAGATCACGTACTCGTCGCGCGTACTCGTGCTCATGTGGGTCACTCTGCTTGCCGATCCACACATAGACGATGCCTTTTTCACCATCTTCACGTATAACTTTGTAGGGTGCACGCAAAATGTGGCAAAAACCAGAGCAAAGTTCTGTCGCGCTGAAAGAACATTGGACAATCAATTAGCACGCAAAGATGAAAAATTGCCTTGTTTTCCATATCCTACCGGCAATCGATCTGTATCGTCCTCGTGCAAACACTTGAGCCGTTTGCTCTCATCTGGAATAGCTCCGGCCACTTTCCACCAAGATTTCGGGTCAACCCACGACGTCCACGGCGAATAACAAATTTCCTATGGAAGTGGGACAGGAACTTGTGATTCTCCTGCTGCTGATGCATGCGGACAACCTGAAATAATGAGCAACACCTTTAGAATAACGTGAGGAATGACTACTGGCGCAAATAACCTCTGAGAAGGCACCTAAAGGATTCTTCGGGCAAAATTAGAATTACCCTGATGTAGATGAGGACTTTCACATAACAAAGCGGGAAGGAAGCCCTTGAGATAGTGAACCAATATTAAAGGGTGGTAATTCTAATCAGATAACCTTGATCTCATTATGCACAGTTCTCCGAGTGCCCCTTCCAAGGTTACCAGCACTTAACTATTCTTTTTTATGACGAACCTCCTAACTTATCCTTGAAGATCTTTTCGAATGTAGGTTGAAGTTGAAACGTGAAATGCAACCATCCCATATTCGAAGCTTCACGGCCCTGCCAGAAGTACAACACCACCACTTGAAATCCTGTTTGGGCCTCTATAAAAGAAAAGTATAAAATTTGAAAAGAACTATAAGTCTGAATCTGAAGTTGCAAATCGAAAAAAATACGATGTACGAATATGACATTTTGATGAAACAATTGACAGTATGAATATGATCCAGGCTGCCGTATATTTTTGCAATTGAGTATATCCGCGATTTAGGAGATTCAGAAGAATTTGCGACAGATGATTAGATGGCAATAGACATATTACACCTACGAATCGCGTGGTCTACATGTCCCTCGAGACCTTCAGATCAATAGTTATAATTTCCTTAGTTCCTCCCCCAAACATTTATCACACCACCGATAATTCCCACACTTACAACAACCTAATTGTAACAGGTATCTAGAACTAAAAAAAGCGATTAGAGCTGCACAATTCCACCGTAAGACATTAGCTCGATTTAAGGGCGGGGGGATTGCGTTTTGAACTTTTCCTTTATTTCCTTTTAGATCTGTATACCTGTTGCTATCAGCGCAAATCGTGCAAATGCTGAGCCCACACTGAGTCACACTGAACATCAGCGGTATTCGGTAACATTTGGTCACCACAACGCGAACAGTGGCCAAGAAGGCGCTTACGTGATCTAATAGACTGTACTACGACATACCGTGCTTTTAACCTCAGTGTCTCCTGCTTCGCTCTCGTTCTTCTCGACTTCAATCGTTTATAACACTTCACGTATCGGCCATCAGAGAAACACATAACAATCCATCGTGTAAAATGAACCGAATTCTCCATCTGGCAGCCGAACAAACTTCTTTCCTTCCTGAACCATGATAGGATTCAACGTGGACGCTAATGGAACACCGGTTTGGGGTCGTCAGGGTAGCTTATCAAGATGGGTGAAATGGGCGGTTTAAGTACGACCGCTGCCCCTTCTTGGAGGGGTGAGAACCCCTCCTAATAAACCTAACCGCAAAACTTAACTCTTGGTTCGTCGAAGCGACAAGGTATGGTAACAGCTTCAATCTGCTTCAGAAGCAGTAGTTTCTTGTCACGCCGCCTACTAAAGGCAGGGAGCACAAAGCGCGCGTGGACGTGAAACGAAACCGCAATTGAACAAAACCTCGTTGAGAGTCGTATACGACCACTCCCCACCGACCAAAAACGTTCCCCGTGATGGTACACTTACTTGCCAGAGATCGATGAGCTGTCATTGACGCTCACACCTACACTTTAGCTTGACATGTTTAGAGGACATCATGACAAATGACTCAATGCGTCTAACAGCACCGATCCCCGATACGCGCATCACCTAGCTGTTACCTTGTGACGCGACCTGTGCTACACCCACGCTTTTCAGCTTCCACGACCCTACCCTTCCAATGTTCGGTTTTTTCGTCGGTTGAAAAAAAACTCTACCAACACGCAAAGATTCGACTAAATTCGAGGATCCGGTGTTACCATCATTGAGAAGCAGTTCCTCACTTTTCTTAGAGACCATTGCTGCCGTTGACGACTCACAGGAACAAAGCCGTGAGGTCGGTGCGCATCATGTTATCACGCTTGACGAGAACCTGGTTGGACAAAATTACTTGATCATCAGTAATCAAGAGCACAGAGTACTCTACTAAAAAAAGCCAGTAAGTCGAGGAACTCAAATGATCACCTTAAGATCTGGTACGCGGCTCACAGACTCTGAAGTGCGGGTAAGTCTACAGGTACAATATCATCCCAGCCAGCAAATTTCGATCGGAACATCATGATTCTCTTCATCCTGAAACTCCTTGATTACCAGCTAGCCTATAGCACGCTACACAGGACAAAATTCCTGGGGCAAAGGAACACATGAAGCAGACGGGGCGCCTCACGACATCGAGACAATGCCACGCAACTTTCATGCTCGACCGAACCTTTCTGAACGAGGATAGTTTCCAGTTCAGTTCAACAGATGTAGCTGGGAGGGGCGAGCAAGGGAACTGGCGTAGGTCGAGCCTTGCCACTCGCCTCCAACGCACGTCTCCTCCAACTTCCTTCCAAAAAAATCCTGCTACAACCGGTAAGGCCACCGAAACGGCACGAAAACAGCGACAGCAAGAATAATGCGCTTCAACTCACCTCAGTTTCTCTCGATACTTGTACATAGTCGGGTCGTTCAATCATTTCGTGGAGCTCCGTGACCATCTTTTGTCCAGCCATCTTCAGTAACCTTCAACTTTCGAAATGTAACATAAAAAGGCAAGACGAAATGGTGAATTCTTAGAGCGTAGAAATGATGGTATGATTTCAATCAAAGCACTAACCTATTGGCCTTCTTTCCCATCCAAAGGAAGATATCGGAAGTGCAGTCAAGAATGTAAACACATTTTGTATTCAACAGTTCCTGAACTCATTGCTTTGAGTAAATAACAAAATATTTCTCAGGGTTTCAAGCTAACCTGTTTGGCAACACCTTTCGGGAGGTCAACTTGGGGCAATTCAAGGAATCCCATACCAATATTGACCTAAATGCAAAGTGTACAATTCTAACAGGTACAAGTGGATACGGAGCTATACCTGGTAAAGCCGTTTCCTCTCAGGCACGAAGTTTTCTGGTACATGTTCAACTATGGCTTCATCAGGACGATTGGGCGACCCACAGAATGCCATCCAGAATTCTTCCGGTACTTTGGGATCTCGACAGGTCTCGATGGCGGCGACACCTTTTCTGTCCCTCTTATTGAGCCGCTCCGCAAAAAGACGCGCTTTGTTTGCAACCGTAATCTGAATAATAGAGAACTGAACGAAATTCATTTTGAAACCAAAGTAGTATACGTACCCGAGCTTTCCATCCACTCCAAATCCAGAGCGTATCGCCGGCATCGAGAAGGAAGCAGTACCGAGGGTCAAGGGACTCCATCGCTACAGGCACCGGCTCCATCTCTACGGCGGTACCATTGACCGAAGCTCGATATAACCTACAGAAAAAGAGACCGTGTTCAGGAAAGCTCTAAGTATAATGTAAAGATGAAGCTTCCACACTTCAGCAGCCCAAAAGACATACTGGACCGCTTGAGAAGTGGGTCCTAATATGCACGAGATGGGCGCTCTTGTAGAAGTGTAGCCCTCGCACCATTTGAAATGCACGACAATGAAACTAGAGAGTCAGGATGCCTGACATCCGGTCCTTCTCCGCCAGCTATCCGACACGCGATACGCTTATTACTTACGCACGCCATACGCCACACTGTCAGCCATACAGCGCAGTACAATCACATGGCTGATCATATGGCGTTGTGCGCGTATTCCGCATCGAATGGTTACCAAGCTATTACCCTCCAGTATGATTGCTTTCTACTTTTGATAGGGAAAGTGCTACAGTTCTACGGCTGGAGCCCAGCCCAAATCACCACGAAAAAACCACCTCTCAAGTAATCGTACAGTGTGACTATAACGACTTACCTTGTAACATGTGGCGGCTTCTCGACACTAAAGAACCCAGTACTGGTACGAGCACCCTTTCCTCGCCACCGAAAAGATCGAGAAATTCCTCAGATTCATCGTTCATCTCTTCTCGAATGGTCCTGAGAAAAAATATCTATGAAATCCCAGAAATA